ACTAATCGCAAAAATAATCGGTGACTAGTCGACTATCAAAATAATCGTTTGTGGCAGCCCTATGCAGCAGAGTACAGTAAAACATGTTAACAGTGGTTTGGCAGATGCACTGCAAAATAACTGTTATTTGTTGTGTTTTACTGTCATTTAATAGAGAAACTGTTACGTTCTGCTGATGAGCTGCTGTCGGCACAGTTACACGAACAAACGTTACATAACAGCTGTTGTATCACTGATTCAGACGGACGGGTAAATATTTACTTCACTCTGCTTCTTGTTGACCTCCATGGCGTGCTCCACCTCAGGAAGCGTCTTCATGTTGGTGTAGCTGGACTTCCCCTTCTCCCGATTATATTTCTCCTTGTAGAGCTTCTACAGACAGAAGAGAGAGGAGGAAGAAAAAAATGATTAAATAAGTGAAGAAAAGGAGATGTGCAGGATTTGAAAAGAGAGACGCAGAAAAACAGAAGCCTGATCAATTTAGGGAGGAAAACATCAGATGACTAATTCATCCTGGTGCTGGGTTGCGTCTGAAAGCGCACTTGTTCATTCGTCTAAAAATAAGACGAGCTGACTTCCAACTGCGAAAATGAGGAATTCACAGCGTGATGCACAAATGAATACAAAAACTGACTGAAGTTAGAAGGCCTGCAGAATAAACCGGCCGCCTTCTGTTTGCATTTCGCTTTAATCGTGTTTCAAAAACCAACTGATTGCTAATGTGTCGTTCTACATTTAAAAAAATGCTTAAGGTCTATGAATCTGTGAAGAAAATAATAATTACTGTAATAATAATAATTACTGCAGACTGTCAAACATTAGATATATTGCATATAAACATAAAACAGCTGCATATCTGTAAACTTGTAATATAATATCAGGAGTACAAGGACAAACTAATGAGTGATGTATGAGCTTTAACTAGTACGGATAAAACTGGTATTTAATTGCTTGTAATGTTGTTGTTGTTGTTGTTGTTGTTAAATGAGGTGAATTTTTTTAGCTTCTTCTTTTCATTTTATTGTTATTTATGTGGCGCAGCGTGATTTGACTTGAGTCAGAGCTGGTGACACAGACAGACTGAAGAAACTGATCTTTGAGTAGGAAGGTTAATAAACTGGTTTAAATGGAAAGAGCTGATACTGGAACCAGCAGACTGGACGGTATTGTGCTGGTTTGTTCCTTCAGGGTTTTACAGACACTGGGATTGTCTGGGCTGCTGATGTGAAGGCGGTCTGCGTTTCGCGCTCCAGTTAGCGTTGCATTGCTCGGTCAGCAGACATGAAACCAGAGGAGGATCAGGCCCGCGTCCCACATTTCCCAAAGCTTTGATTTTCTGCCCTCGGGGCTGAATGTCACCAAACAATTCCCCTCATGTGGAACATCTGTACAATAAACAGAGAATTTCATGTTCTGCACCTCAGACAGTTTGAGCAGAATCAGGTCACATGTAGCACACAGCTGAAGACTGTCCACTTCACACATACTGGGAAAAGACAAACAAACAGACAGTCCAGGAGGTGGAGCACATGACGCCCACTCTGCAGTAGTAAATGCACCGGACCGTCACCTGCTCCACTCACACTGACGCCACGCCAACGATGTGTCACGCTTCACGCCCGTTTTGATTGATTTAACTCTTCTAGACAATCAAAATTTCACTTTTTTTGGCTAAAGTCAACAGATTTTCCTCCTCTGACTATTTCCATACGGCTGTTTCAAGTGCAAGATGCAGCAACAGTTTGCGTACGATACGATAACAATTTAAAGTCTTTGCTCAGCTTAATGTAGAAAATAGCAAAAGCAGGTCTCTGTACAATCACGAGCAATTACACGTTTCCTGCTACCCTGCTGGTGGAGCTGTCTGCGAGCATGTGCAAATCAGTTGGAGCAGACGGGCTGTAAACACACAGGAGAGCAGGCTGCGTCATGCATGTTGTGCCAAATGTCTTTAGACAGCTACATCACAGCTCTCACTAAGATCACGATTGTGCATCACATCAGTCACATCCTGGAGAGAATTTGAGTTTTGTACAGCTGTCAGTGATTGCTGAAGACCTTTCTCTGCTGCAGTTTATTCAAATCTTCCACTGAAATAAAACCTACTTTTTAATTGTTGAGGCTCTGAGTCTTTAACTCCACCTACACTGGTGACGAGGCAGGAGTCTGTTGTCCTGGGAGGTGTTCCCAAGCTTACAGAGACACAACTTTTCCAGTGTCCGGAATCTGCCCTGAGGCCTCCACCCACCAG